GGACCTGAATGTAAGATGTTGTCCCCTTACATGTAAAACTGCAGCTTTATTTACCAGTTATGATTTAAAGTAGGATGTCACTGTGTAAAAATATTCAAACTGTTTAGGTACTATGTGTGAGGTTTTATTGGGGACTTTGTTTAAAATGCATGTGAGATGGAGCTGGGCTCCAATTTGACCATGTTGATTCTGCATTGTGACTTTCAGACATGATTCCTCAAAAGAAGACGTGGTGACCTTATTATTACCTACTCTGGTCAGTGGTTTTAAATCAGCACATATATGCAAATAATTTTTCACCACCTCCCCACCATTAATAATTGAGCCTACTGTTCGTTCACAAACTCACAAGTTCTCATGCAATTTAAATTCCATCTAGAGTGAAACCTTTACTTTTTAAAGTTTCATAGTTTTTCCCCCCTTCAGTTCCATTTTATCAGCTCAGTATGAAGCTCAGCTTTTGTGTGAAAATGGAAGAAGTCAAAAATGTTACCACCAATAAATAGAGAAGACATGAAGGAATAAATTAAAGCTATCAAAAGAGCTACACCCTGCAAAGCCCACTGATTGGCTGCTGTAATGAAAGATAACGGTAGATACTGCTGTTCTCTTCAGGGTCCAATTTCTAACCTGTGCCTTTTTACATTTTGGTAACATTACAAGCAAGACAAAATTAGTAATCAGTGCATGTTTTTTGCTGATAAATAACAGTAATTGATTTTGCTAGTAATCATCTGATCACTTGATCCGCTGCTACATATTACATGTTGCTGAAAAATGAATCAATTAACTTGTTACACTGATGGACTCATGTCCAGTATTATGTATGGATTTGGTACATCACTACCAAAGTGGTCCAATGGGGAAAACTATTTTACAGACAGGAAATGACTGAAATGATCCCAATTTCTTTCCCTCGACATCTGATGTGTTTTGTCACTGTTAGATGTAAAGAGAGATGGGAGCTTGAATATTTTATCTCCGGGGCGCATTAATTACAGAAACAGCAAAATGCAGTTGACAGTTGTGATTTATTTAGAACCCTGAGATATGTGGTAAATCTTGCTAAGACATGATATTATGCAATAGCTGACTGTGGTCGTTTGATTTCCCTTCGCTGAGAACCCTCAGGAAACCAGGGTGTAATTTATCTCTTGAAATATCAACTTTATGACAACCGCACAAGAGAGCCGCTCCATTTCTGTGCCAGCTACAGAAATTTTAGAACGTGCAAACAAGGCTTATTAACACGAGGCCGTCGCTGTGTTTTCCCCAAACACAGCGAATGCAATGTGTTATTTTGGAGATCCTGGAAGACATTTGGAAGTCAAAGTTGAAAACAGAGGGGGGGAGAAGAAGTGGGCCATCCCTAAATTTTTTTGTTTACTTGCGCTGGATGTTTTTTGGTGCAGGCTAATGGAGGGCTAAAGGCCACTGAGCCACATCTAGCAAGAGATAAATGGACTGAAATGTGAGAAGAAGCCCTGATTCTCCTATCCCAGAAGACTGGTGGGAGAAATATAATGCTGCTTGAATAAGTTGAAGACGCTATGCGAAAGGGAGAAATTGTTGACTTCCTGTTCGCTGACTGACTGATTCAATGACTATTATCTTGCTCTAACAATGAAATACACACCTCCACAATCCTCAAGTTCTCACCCTTATGGTTCACAGTGTCTTATCCTCCAATACATTCTTTAGCCTCTCGTCTTAGGGAAGAAGAAGACGAAGAAGACGAAGAAGAAGAAGAAGAAGGAAAAAAAACACAAGGGGGGCCATTTCTGCTTAGTATTCATCACCATTATATTTCCCTATAAAGCTTTCAGTTCTTACCAGCCATCACATGCATACCTGGGGGCCTGAATTGAATACGATTCAGAAGGCAGGCTTGAATCTACAGGTTAAAATATATCCAAACACCTTGGTCTCTCAAAGCCTCAGGCACTGAAGGCTGCTCATTCTTACGCACTATGTGAGCCTGGTTAATGGCCCAGTAAAAAGATGGTATGAGGTGAACCATCTCCAGCCTCCTGTTGACACTAAGCGGCTCTTGGTAATGATGCCTACCATACTTCATCTTGTGGGTCAAATACACTCGCTTTTCAACTTTGTATTTTAGACTATAATGTACCAAAGCTTCATATTTACAGAGCGTGAATGCGAAAAGAGACTATAGAGCATGTCCTAGAAAGTGTGTGCGTGAGAATAGCATGGGGGTGGTGGGGTCACAGTCGATACTGAAGGCAGGTACTTCTCAGACACACTGATTGATTTACTGTATCTGTTGGGCTAGACCTGCCTGCCTGTCAGGATTAAGGAATTATGTCTTATCAAACCTGTTCCCCTGACAGACCCAATTCCAACTGAATCACTTGAAGCAGCAACATATGGAAAACTAGGGCATATCTGTAAGAATGAGTGTTTTGCAAGTATAGTGTCTGCTCGTTAGATTTTTCAAGATAATGGGAACAAAGCGATGTGCAGTCACACAAACTTTAAGGGCACGAGATACAGCCGCTGTTCAGTTCATCTGGTCTTAAGTCTGTTTGCCGAATCCAAATTCTACCAGGCTCTTTATATAAATTGCAAGAGAAATAGAAAAATGCAACACAAATTTCATGCAGAGCCATCACCTTCAATCCCCCAGAGAAAATTGTATGAACAATTTTAATCTATAGCAGCTAATACAAAATACATAAGGCCCAGGGACTCTAGAGAGTAAAAGCCTGAATCGGAAGGCCTCCCTTCTGAGTACAAGCTCATAATCTCCACCACATGCAGCGTGAGAAACGTAGTCTTTCAGTGTATCTCAGAGAAGATGGCTGATTATGTGAAAATTTAAGTCTCTGCACCTTGTCCTTTCTTGGAAACACATAAGTGGACCTGCAAACAAGCAAAAACCACAGAGTCAACAGGGGACACAAGCTAACAAAGAGCACCATATATCCCCAATGTTAACAACAGGACAGTGTTTTTACTGTAATTTCTGCAACACAGCACAAAATAAGCTGGAAGGAAGAGACTGCACAACCAACAGTAAAAGCTATCCTCAGTTCAGCTTTCACAACCTTGCTTTATTACAGCTTTCCTGAATTGTTAAGACACTAACTCGCATTTTCTGAAGCAAATTCTCAATGTCCTAAACTAATCAATCCCTCTTTTGGCAAAACGTTAAACTGTTTTCACCTAATTAGATGCAATTTGCAATTCTCCTTTAACCTTTTTGTAAAACTCTAAGTACATCCCCACTCACTAAAACACATTCTGCACAGTGATTCCGTTATGAAGCATAATGGTAACCACAGGAAGCAAAAGTTAAATTACAGCACAGATGCCATTTCTTAAACACAGAATTGTTCGCACTTGTTGCTAAGGATGATAAACCTGAAGCCCGAAACTGAGGCAGTTCAGAACCCACAGCCAGCAACGTTGAGCTGAATGTTGAAAATATCAGTGGACGGAAACTAACTGTGAGGTAGAGGAGAAAGAGCACAATCATTTCAGTAATTTCAGAAGAAATTTGACCCGCTGCAACAGACCACATTTGTAAAGTAATAGAAGAACTGTTTAGTATGATGTTTCTCACACTATGATTTACTCATAAGAAAAAGAAACGTACTCATTGGTCACTGGTATGCCTGTTCAACTGCTCATTAAAATATCTATTCAGTTAAATACATGGCAGCAAAGCATTTAGGCACCCAGGTGTGGTCAAGATGACTTGCTAATGCTCAAACCAAGCATGAGAAAGGTGATTTATGTGACTTTGAAGTTGGCATGATTGTTGGTGCCAGACAGGTTGTTTTGAGTGTTTTAGGAAATGCATAACCATCTCCAGTGTTTACGGAGAATGCTGTGAAAAAGTGAACATTTCCAGTGAGAGGCAGCTCTCTGGGCAGAAATTCCTTGTTGATGCCAGAGGTATCAGAGTAGAATGTCCAGTCTGCTTCAAGCTGACGGAGAGGAAACAGTAACTCAAATAACCACTGAACACAAAACATGTTGAAGAAACTGTTGAAGCAGATGGGGTACAGTAGAGGAAGACCCCAGTAGGTGCCACTCCTGGCAGTTCAAAACAACAAACAGAGGCTAATATTTGGACAGACTGACCAACACTGAATGATGGAAGATTGCCAAAACGCTACCTGGTCTGATGAGTCTTGATTTCCTCACAAACATTTAGGTAGCAGAGTCAAAATTTGGCATAAACATAAAAGCATGGATGATGCCTTGTATCAATAGTTCAGGCTGGCGATCGTGAATTGGTGTCTGAGATATTTTCTTGGCACACTTTGGACCCCTTAGTACCAATTAAGCACTGTTGAAACTGGTTTTGTGTTTAAAGTTTTGAGAAAATGCAAGAAATTAATCATGTTAAATGTTCAAATTAAAAATATTATCAATACAGTTTTTAGACATAAGTGTGTGTGTAGGGGGGGGGGAATGTTTGTTTGTTTGTTTGTTTTTAAACTAGATTTCAACTTATTTTGGACTTTCGGATGAAAAGCTGCCCAATTTCCTGATCACATAAATGCAAAACAATCTTTCCATAAATAGTAAAATAACAGCTTCAGTCATTATAAATGCTTAAACAACAGCCTAAATCCTCAATGTAAAACCAGCCATAATTTAGCCATGCTCTTTTCATCCATGTCCAGCATTGTTCGGGTCATTTTCAATACAGTAAACCCAATTTAGAGCATCTTAAAAGCAAAGCAAAGATGAAATAACATGAAAATGAAGCACTGAAGAGGTGATCTGACCACTCATTCATCCACCTTAATGAGCTCCATCCTGGAGCTTTGTGGGTATACAGCACTGTCAGCATGTAGCCTTCTGTCAGCCTCTGTACACATGACTGTTAACAAATCCAGCCCAACAATGGAACTGCACAATTAAGCAATACAGGCTCCACAGCACTAACAACAGCCCACTTTATACACAGCGCTACACTAGGCTGCCATCAGTAAATCCAACAAACAAAAAAGACAATGACTCACCGATTATTTTATTGGAAAGACTCACCAGGTACCTTAAGAGAAAACATTCATCTTTTTTCCTATTTCCTTCTCAGCCTTCTTAGATCCAGATTTAAAGTACCCAGAGTTCCCAATGAATGCAACTTAAGACAAAAATTTTAGGAAGCAGCCCAGACCCGAATGCTAAAATAAAAATGAAGCCATCAACCTCCCAAGTGCTGCAGCCTGGCGTTAAGCAAACATATAAAGTTAGGTAGCCTTAAGCTTTGATTCTATCTTTTGTAACTTTCCATTTAATTTACCATAATTAGCTTGCTTGAACTCACTACATTTGCTTCGCTTTTTATTTTAGGTTCACGGTTTCAGCTGTAATTGGAAAAATGTGTTTTTAATTAAAATGTGCACCTGGCTTCTTTTGGCTTGACTGCACGGTTTTAAATAGCCGTGAATGGGTATTAAATGTGGGTTGCTGTAGAGGGCGCTCTTTCCCCCAAACAGAAATCAATAACATTTACAAAAGGGCAAAGAGGCAGTTTTTTGTGTTGTTTTGTTTTGTTTTTTTATATAGGGATTAAACTCTGCAAGTAGGAGTAAAACTAAAGCACCATTTTTTGTCTTAGTTTGCTATTTCCTTTTTTTATTTAACGTTGCCTTATCTTTACTGATGTTGTATACATGGCATGTGTTATTTTTCTTACACTCTTGCATGCCATTGTGATTTTTCAGCAGCCTTTTCTTCATGATCTTATCTTATATCTTATCTTTAATGCTTATTGTTAAGATTTTTCTTCTCCCCTAATAGCAAAGATTCATACAGCTGCGCAATTTTTCAGAAGCAAACTTTATTTTTACGTTAATAAGAATAATTAGTTAGGAGTCAACTTTTTTTTTTGACTTTGAGTGAAATGACTGGACAATGCTGACACGCGTCCAGAACCATAATGAAATGTCTGCCTTTTGTTTACACATTCTTCTTTTCAGTTTAATTCAGGTTTATTTATATTGTGCCAAATCACAGCAACGGACGCCTCAAGGCGCTTTGTACCGTGAGATCCTGCAGTAAGGTACTGTATTGTGCCTTTGGGTATGCAACACAGGATTATAGCTAAATAAATGAGAAAATGAGTCTTGTTTCGTGCACACTGATAGTGTCCACACAAAACATGTAATTGTTCTCTGTGTCTAATTCGAATCAATTTTACACTTGCTCTGTCAGACTAGAATTCATCACCACGATCCCATTGATGCAGCCATCCTCCTTTTCTGAATGTCCACTGACCAGTGCTCATCAATTTGCAAACCTCTAATTTTGAAATCACAGACCCTCTCGTATGTAATGGCTACTGTGAAAATGTGTCTGTTTTTGTTTGTAGGCTTGAAGGCTAATTTTAATCATCTTTTTATCATGCATACAGACAAGCTTTTTTATGCATACTTACTATATTCATGCTTTCAGCATGAGATTGGACCCCCGTTCACTAACCTGAAAAGACACCTTTCACTATGACCCATCTTCTCTGACTTTCTTTGATGATGTGAGTATGAATTTTATTTTTCTGTTTTTCAGGAACAGAGTTCCCATTATCCAAATGCTTGTATGAATTAGAAGCATACATTCTCTGTAGTGCAACAGCCTGCAGGTCCTTTGAGACCTGCAGCAGATGTTGACAGTACGGGCACTCCTTCCGGAGCTGCAAGTGAGAGTAGCCATTCACCACGAAATGCACAGGCAGGCAGAATGTAGGCTGGAAAGCCTTCTGTTCACCAGCTTCAGCTTACCATAAGTGCAGCAAAATTGTACCTGGCAACTGTGTCTAAGTCATAGCTGATGTTTTTGTTACAGCGGAACAGCTTTGGCAGTCTTTGACAGGGTTTGTCAATAAAGACTAAGAAATTGTTTATTGAAATGTCACAGAAAGTCGCCTATAGACCCAAGCTCAATTCAAGCTTAGTAAAAATTGAGACTGTGAATGTTGGGTATAGCAGCAAAAAGTCCTGTATGAAAAGAAGCAGGAGCGCATAGATCTGACTAAAGTAAGTATATAACATTATTTGATCTGTAAGGGGAGATGATTGGATAAGATAAATGGTATTGCTTGAGAGGAGATAAAAAAGAAATCCTTGCCAAATACCCCAATACAATGTGAGATAGCAGTGACCTTAAATGTGATCACTACCTTGCATTGTTTGAGAAAGAATATGAAAACATTGTGGCAGGAATTTGTGTCAGACAGTAATACTAGTTTCAGCATTTGTCAGAATGAGTAATGAAAAATTGGTGAATCATCTGTTGTGCTGTAAGCAGCTATTCACAACTGAACCCTGCTAATAAACCTGAAGTCAAATAATACTGCTGTAGCAGAGACTATGCTGACAAAGAGAAGAGTAGGAGGCCAGCCTAACAAATTCCAGTGCATCTTTTTGGACGTGAGACAAACAGATCAAAGAAAGAACAAACACCAGACCTTCCCTGCATATCAGCCAACAAGTGAGCATAATGTGCAAATGTCTGAACTGCACAGCCTATAGGTCTTTACAAGTGTGTAATTGCTATGTGACACTTTTGAAGACAGCGCGACAATGCAATATCAAATAAGAGTATCTGAATGAAAAAGAAGGGGGCCATTGTTCGAGGAGAAAGATGTCTCTTCTAGAAAATAATACCGCCTCTCTGTCTGCATTCATGTCACAGTTCAAACATCAGTTTACACTGCCATGCCTTCACAAGTTGCCCTGAACACTGTAACAAGTCTTCAGGGGGCAGGAGAGAAGGATGTCACTGACAATTTTGCAGAGCATGAAGCTCGACTGCTAATGAGATTTCTTTTTCTACCAGCAGCAAATATAAGTAGTCATTTCCTGCACAAAGACCTCTTCTTAAAAAGAAAAAAAGAGAACATGGCAGTGATGCTCCTTAAGATTTCATTTGTGCTCTTGTTATGTACTAAACTAAATCAGCTCATATTAATTCTCCATTTTATTACTGTTATTGTTGTGGGTTTTTTTACTTTATGTATTGTGTAATATTGCTAATTTGTTGCATTGTTTTGTTTTGCATTATGCAGCCTTTAGAGTGCCCCTGTGAAACACTTTCAATAATTTCCACTATTACTCAGAACATTTTTGGGTAATGGGCGCTCTTTTGATGCTGTTCACAGCCTCATCCCACAGTACGACGTGGACATCTCTACTGACCACTTAAGCAGGTGCTAATTAACTGACACAACCTTGGAAACCAATTTGTGATTATTTTCATTTCACATTCATAACCCATTACGTCTAACAAAGATATGTTCAGAAATACATTTGGAAGATGGTCCTATTTTGTCTGCATCTGAAGTAATAACTAAACAAGAAAATGACTGTGCCTGGAAATGAATTTCATTTTGAAAAGTTAGCGCCACTTACTAACTACATTCAATTTGCAGCAATGAGTGTAAGTATTAAACTATACAAGCACGTCAACTCGAGCCCTGCATTCACATGCAATACAACAATGCTTGTGAGCATGAAAACTGCCTCTTGCAAAGTGTGGCTGATGAGATATGCATATATTCATGAACAGGTGTAATGTGTTCTGAAAAAAATAGAACTTGAAATGGCCTTTCAGCACAAAGTAGGAGCAACTGCGAATTATCAATGTTCCTGTTCATATGCGTGCAATAACATTATGCTAAAGATAAAAAGACAACAATACAAAAATATTGGGACTAATGTGAAGGATTATGTATTTCAATCACATATAAATCAACACAGTAATAAACTTGATTTGATGCATAACCGTGAGATAAACAACAATGAAATTAAGTATGTTAAAGTATTTAAAGTATAAATGAATTGGATTTATTAGCATAAATATAAGCTTAATGGGGATTTTTAAACTATGCTGTGCAAAAGGATTACAAATTAGAACACAATTTAAATATCATTTTGAACATTAAAATAACAAAACATAAGCATATTTGAGTGACTTGTCAATATCAATACACAATCCAGTGACAACAGGCATCTGAATGGTCTTTAAAATTTTCTTTTGAATGACTGCCCTGACTTCATAAAGCCATATAGACAATAACCTTCTGTGTCTGAACACGGCTGTCCAGGGCTCCTTTGAGAAAAGCTTTGAGAAAGGTGGCAGAGCACATACACCTTTGGTAAAAGAAAGGTCAGCGTCTAATGTTTCAGAACTGTAGCACTACTATTAAAGAACTTTTATATAACATAAGGTTGCCTGCATATTATATTTATCTCACATACTATTGAATAAAATTAGAAAAGAGATGCCTAATTGCCCAGAGCCTGGGTAGCAAGTCTAAAGCTTTCCTTGGATACATTTGAAATATCCTCACATTGATGTTTCTCTGCAAAAATGTTAACCATGTTCAAAATTCAATGATACAAAATACAGGGGAGGCTGATGTCATTAGTGACCTGTTTTGAATGTTATCAGCTCACTTCATAAATGGCCATTATCAGCTGTTATCAGTCCAATACTTATCACATGTAGGAGGGCTCTTTCCACTTATTTGCAGGATCAGTGGAAAATTATAACACCTTCCACTGGGGAGAAGTTCCTCCGTAATGAGTGTAGTGTCTCCACTGGCAGGAGTGGTGCTGACATTGGTCACACATGAGCCAGGAGATTAAGAAATATCTTTTGGACTTGAATGATTTGAATCACATTTGCTTATGAAATTGCTTACTGCTTATTGGTTGATTTTAGGCTGTTTGGTTCAGTATAAAATACTGTAAAAAAAAAAAACACAAAGAAAAAAACCTACAACCTTCAGAGAAAGTGATGCAGCAGTTTAGCGCTGCACTGTAAGCTGGTCCTGGATTTGAATCCACCAGCAGGCCTCTTTGGGTGGGGTTTGCATGTTTGCCCTGTTAGTTTATGGCTTCTGCCTGGATATTCCAGGTTGTTGCTCTTTTGAAGCCTAACCATGCTAGATTAATTGGGAATTCTTAATTGGCCATAGGAATGAATGTGAGCGTGTCTCTCCTGCAGAAGGCGGTCAACCACTCCAGGGTGTACCTCATCTTTGGCCCTATGACAGCTGGGGTAAGCAGAAGAAAATGAATGGACAATCTTTAGTAAGCAAGCAACGTGTTTCCAAGCTGAATTTTGTCATTTACCACATGCCGTTCTACATGCACTTCATCACAGAACAGCTAAAGGTTTTTCTAGACTTATAAGCTGAGCTGATTTCTGTTTATCACTGATTACAGTGGACGATAACTGAATACCAAGTTTCGTGGGAGAGGGTGCCCGCTGGCCATATCTATGTAACTGATTAAAACTGCTGATGGCCATTCAATTCAATTTCAAGTGAAAATACTGAACTTGCAGTTCAAAAAAATGTTTGAATATTTGTGCCAAGTTCTGCAACATTTTCCTGGATGAGTAAAAAAAAAAACATTGTTGGCAACAAGACTGAACATCACAGGATCACCTGCGTCATTAGGATTTTTCTCTCCACAGACAATGTCAATACAAAATTTCAGTATATTTACAGTGAGTTGAGCTGTTGTTTAATTCTGAACAAAACTGATAGATCATCAATCAAACCTGGAGTCCCATCATAAAACCTTTCACGTTCTGCATGCATTAAAATAATAACACATCTTACTAATATTTCAACTAGAGCAACATTGCAGTTAAGCTGATTATGCAAGTCTCACTCTGTGCATATAATGTATCATAATAATGCAGTTTACATGTCATAGGAGAACACTACTTAGGCATACATTTCTCAGACTTTCCATTAAGACAATGCCTAACATGTCTCAAAATAGCTCTGTGAATGCCAGTAAGAGCTCAACCTATGCTTTCTCTAATACTAATTATCCTAACAAGCACGGTACTGTGTTCACAACTTTACTCATGTTACACTTGTAATCGCTTTATTTTTGCATTTTTCATGCCAGGCATGGTCTATGGTGATGACACTGCCATCAGTCCAATGGTGTAATTGCACAGTAAACACTAATTGTGACAGGTGAATGTAAACTTCACAATACATGTATCCATTTTACATTTGTGACAATCTCACCTTTTTTATCCTTAACATAATCTTACAATAAATGCAAAGTTTCTTATCACAAAAAAAGAGGAACATTATTTTGGGCAACACTGATATTTGCATCTCAACAATGACTACTGTGGAGACGGGAAAAAGGAAACAAGGATGTCTTGTTTGACATCTGTGCATTTTTTTCAGGGTTATGTAATTACAGGTGTCCTTCTACCTTTATATTTTAGGTTAAAAAAATTATAATTTGGGATTTCAAAGCTCTTACTAGACAAGGGTAATATGTTAATGTGGTCATTTTAAATTCTTTTCATCTTCTTTTGTGCTGTTTTCAGATTCTCTGGTAATAAAGTGATATCAGGTACGCCCCTGTGTTTCTTGCCTTCTTTTCCATGGTGCACCTTCAAAGCCTATAAACTATCCAGCTGGACAACAAAGGAAGAAGGGGGGGGGAAAAATCAATGTAATTGAACACTGTGTGGCCACTGAGATAGCGAGGGTAGATACAATCCTCTACTGTAAAATAACACGCATTATCATCATCCTGCACTTAGATGAACCAGCAGAGACAAAGCAGAAACTGTACAAATTCCAGCCTCTGGAGTGCTAGGATTGTTGATATAGTTTCAGGGTATGAAACCTGTATAAAGGAAAGGAAAAGGAAAAGCCAAGGACGGATTGCTCTTTTTTCTGCCATCCTAGTTGTCATGGAGGTAGTAGTAACATGTTGTAATGTCAGGGTTTGATGTTGCTCATTAGGCCAGTAATGATTTGTGGATGGATTGTAGGTGTGGGAGCTGTGTCTCGTTTGAAGCCATATGCTGGCAGCCAGGGTACTTCAGACACTAGTGTTTACTGGGAGATCCAAGCTATTTTATTGCTTCTAATGTCATAATTTACATTCAGCTAGAGGACTCTAATGGATCCAATTCTCCACATCTTCCCTCTTTGTTCAGCTGAACAATCAAAATGTGGGAAATGGAAATAAGTTTTAATCTTTTTGACTTTGCAGCTCAATATAATTGTTTTACGATGGTATTATTAGCAGATGTTGCAGTTGTTGTATTTTACTGTTATAATAATTATTAGCTTTGTATATCATATATATATTTATAGTTTGGACACCCGATGAAAAAGCTTTTATATTATTTTGCCTGTGATGACATCCTGGCAGGGACTTGCTTTTACACCAGGCAGTATGACACTTTACCTCCCTAAGAGATAACAAACATCTGTCAAAAATGATCAGCACTGTGACATAGTGATGGCAAAGACAGTCGATGTTTAAGCTGCAGTGTTCTATATACATATATATTGACAAAGAGGGTTCTGCTTTGCATTTTGAAGCTACAGCACATCAAATTTCCATTTAAAAACACATTTGTGTTTGGAGGCTGCAAGCCAGTGCCCCCTCAAAAGTAAATGAGACCACACTGATTAATTCTGGTGCCCATGGAAGTAAACTATATATATATACATACATTTAAGGGGGGGAAATGTATCATAATCAGCAAAAAGCTATCGCAGTGACCAGGGGAAAATAGTCTCTGCAATATTTCTTTTGCCAGATATGAGCTCCTGTCACTATAAAGCAATTACAGATGAGTCAGTATTGCTTATCAAGCCATGTTTTCTAAGTACTGGGCTTAAAGTTGCCAAAATATTTTGCAGCCACTGCCACAGATGGTTAATGATTTATACAATGTTAAATTATTTCAACAGCTGATGTTTTAAAATTCTTCACCTAATACCAAAGCTCTTGGGGTCAAGCAATCACAGTTGACGTTTCTGTGTGTTTACACTAGGCTCGCTTTCCCTGCATTTGATTAAAATGCAATTGAAAGCAATATACTGTAAAATGAAAATTGTGTATAAACAGGGCAGCATCAGCAACCCCAGAAAACAGCATCCTATATCTAAAGCTGTGCAGCTTTTAACTGCTTTACCAAAGCGGCTTCTGTATTGGCATCTTCAGTGTAGCCTGCCAGCTCCAATGCGCATGGGATTTGCCAAACTAAAAATTCAACCGTCTTGAACCCAGCACTCACTATTATTACAAAAATAAGTCTGCTATCTCAAGACACAGTTAGTATGGGTTCTAATGGGGCTTTTTTCAATGTACCCAATTAGTGCTTAGACATGCAGCAGCCAAAGCTTCATTAGTGGACAGCAGTCAGGCAGCCAAATCAAATCCATTCGCACTTTACACAACTGAGTTGAGCTGTAACCTTATTCTAGATTTAACAATAACTACTCATTTTTACTGACTCCTATCTCATCATCTGTTTAATAACCTTTAACAAGGAGAGAAGTTACATGTAAAGCGGTCCCATCCACCTCGTGTATTTTTTATGCTTGCTAGGTTGACATGACTTGTTAAAAACAAGTTAAAACTAAAGCTGTATGTATGCAGACAGACTACTATCTGCCACTTATCTTCAAATTTCACAGTAAATCCTTGTAAATGTTGCTACAGGCTGAGACAGCAGCCACCTCCACTTTTACTAGTTGTGCTATCTGCATGCAAAGGAGTGTGGGGTGGGATATTTCCCCCATACCAGACAATCAATCTATCAATATTGCAATGTTTTGCCCCCTAGAAATCTGTGTTTTTAATTGCACCAAAGCTCCACAATCTGTGAACTCTAATTTGGAACGATTAGTCTTTTTGCAATAAATCCAAATATCATACGTTACCTGCAGTTGTGACAAGATCCAAACTATTTTCGTGGGAGTGCTTTAATCCAAGCAGCCAGCTTTTTGTGTGCCTCTAATTGCAGGTCCTATGGGTTTTTTAATGTACATCATGGCGACATACAGGAGTTCTTGGCATATAAAACAGTATAGAGTTTGGGCCCCAAGGCTCCCTCTTCCAGCCATTCTCTTTGACATTAAGACCGGAACATGCTCTCTCACAGTAAAACCCCAGCTTCCTCTTTTTAATGAAAGGTGTTCATCATCACCTTGTCAGCAACAGTGTGTGACTAGGACAGGTTGATGCCACTTAGTCTCCCTAAGGGGAGTATGCGCTGTCAAGCAGAATTTGCAGTCCTGCCATTTTACTTTGACAGACGAACCAACCTGGACAGGTCTGGAGAGCAGGGCCACATAATGGGCCCTCCAGTTGTCTTACCCTTAAAAAACTGAATTGGATGACATTTGTGTCTTATTTGAGTCCATAGCTGCATCTTGTTCTGCTGTGCTAGTCATTCTGTGTTTACACCAACAGATGAATCAGAGCATTACTTTCACCATCATTCATCGCCCACGCCATCACATCCCGATCCTTGAAAAGCTCTTAAAGGTTACTGTGGCAGAGATGACCGGTCTCTCCCTTGGCTGCTACAAGTGAGTGCCTTCGCAGTGGCCCAGTTACCCTGCCCGGCTGAGCCCTGATCGCAGGCGTAAGGGGTGGGGTGGGGGTGATACCCTAATGCTAACTGACATCCTGAGAAGCTGTGATTGCTTTGAGGGCTTTGTGGGCAGTGGAGGGTGTGGGTGGCAATGGAAGGATAGAGGCCATGTCTCACAAGGACCTTTAACAACCTTTTAAAAGCTCTAAGAAGGCTGCCCTGACGCCAGCCATTCACAGGAGAAAATTGCTGACAGTGCTAAAGGGGAGAGGGCGGTGGGGAAGAGGAGAGCAGCAGTATGCAGCAGTTCCTGGAATGCTTTTGAGTTCATCACATTGTCCTGTGATCCCTGCAATGATCTAGGCACACCACAACCCAATCGGCCTCGCTGTATTCACTGTGTAATTACAAGCATGTTCACTAAATAATTCACTAGGAGCAACCGCTGAAAAAACATCCAGCACTCATGGAATGCACTTCTGTGAGCTTTTCCACTGCAGCCTATTACACCACTTTAGTCTCGGTTAGGTCAGCCCGGCCACTGAGATAGAAACATCCTGCATTGCAATCCTTTGACCTAGCCCCACTCTCAGCAAGTTCACAGAGTGCTGTTTGACCTGAAGGTTTGGCTAAATTGGCTAATACCATGCTGTGTGCCAGTGAATCCTCTCTTTCTGTGGACAATCATCCATCGCCAGATGAAAAAAAAGACATTATCCAAAAAGAACGCTGAAGTCCTGGGAAGCTTTATTACTCTCATTTCTTCAATAACTCCCTCAGACTTCCAGTTGTGCACCATATTTCATCTCAGCGCTGAAGAATGACTTTTCTGACAGTGAACATGAGAAATGCAAGAGACTCAATGGGCACGGCTGGAGGGGGGGCAGCCTACCCACAGAAGATCACAGCAGTGGCAATGAATGCATCAGAAAACACTGCTGTAGGCTAGCATAAGTCAACAGCGCCTAATGTGAGCCTTTGGTATGCATGATGTTAAATAGATTGTGAAAATGCTCTTTTCATGACTAAGATGGAGCTTTTCATTAATCCTAGAGCTGAACCTGCCTCCGCAAAACAACGAGCATCCCTCGCGGGAAAGACAAAACACCCACGGTGGGCTAGAGGGATCTCAGAAGAGCTCTCATACAGCTCATGGACACACTCTCTTTGCATCCACCCCCTTAGTCTTACGTGCAGTTGTGATTTGCATGTTTGTAGATCTATCTAATCTCTCATATCTGTAGCATGTGGTCATAAGTATCTCTGTAGCATTTTCTCCATGTGTCAGTGAGCATCTGTGTGCATGCCTTTCAACGTGATGTACATATGCTTTTGTGCTCTGTGTGCAAAGTGTAGGTGGATGTGGTTGAGACAGATATTCAGAGAACTTAAATCATTTTTTTGCCTTTTATGTGTGTGTGCACAGCAGTTGGTCAGAAGAGATATAGGGTTTTGATTTTATTTTAGGAAGCTCCTGTTAATGATAGCCCACGTGTTGAGGATTAAAGCAATAGCACAGCGCTTCAGTGAATATTCACATGTGTGAATGCTGATAAGTCTGATCAAGCTATTTTCCCATTTGCTCAGATATATCGGGAATAACACAAACCACACCTTGCACAGATCCCTCTTTACTTGTACCTTAACTTCTACATTTCTTATTGCATGCCCCCCTTTTTTAGTTAAATGTTCCATAAATTAAGTATGTGTGTGCAATTTGTAAATAGCACATGCACATTCATCTACAACGCTAATTTGAAAGCTCAATAGCAGGATCTGACTTGCAACAGTGTAAATTTATCGCAAAAATTGAGATATGCCAGTTCTCCTTTGTGTTCCTGCATGTGTAACTGCATCAATGACAGCAAGTTTCACTTTAATATGTCTGTGCCACTGATAGCAGTAAATGGTGCAATGCAGATTTAAAATAAAAAAGGCTTCATTGTCAAGCTGTCATCATGTCATGCTTTGATAAAAGGAAGGCAGAGGTAGTTTAATCAGCCGTTGCAAAGTTAAATGAATAACCACAGGACATCAGAGGATTCAGCCTTCGCCTTAGTGCCCATAGACACTAATGCTAGGGCACGTCAGCCATACAGGAGCTATAGCGATCCCTTCATGTTCTGTCAAAACACCAAAACCTGCAACACACTAATCTCATCATAGCAAGCCGAGCAATCTATTTCTGAGTAGAGCCATATTTTTGAATCAAACACCTTCCTCTCAACTGGCAGAGTGTGACTGTGTGAACCGGAGTTATCCCCGGGTAACGGCCCAGGCATCCATTTGTAATGCAGATGTCTGAACCAATAATTGAAGCCACTTTATCAACACCTGTGCTGATAAGTGATGGCTTTGTAGACAGCTGGTGCAGAAAAGGCCATAGAAGAAACAACATAAAACATAAAAATCTGCATCTACTGACATTATTTCCAGTTTTTCCCCCCTCACTGCAGAGAAGCAAAGAGGGTGGCTGAAAGTAGTTCATCTGCAAGACTTCATTATAGGCTGGAGTTCCCACCTCAGCTGAAAACCACTCAGCAAGCATGTCACCTTAGGTGTGTTGAATGGTTAGTCTGAGCATTCTAAAGTTTAATATACCATTCAGATTTGTTCCCATGACAAAGAGTAAATCACTTGGAGAGACATTTTATTGTACCATGAGCATCCTAACATCTGTGTGTACACTGGGTTCCTTCAGCATAAATCCTAGTGGGGTGTTATTATCACTAAAATGGATCTTATTTGGTCGACACTAAAATAGCTAGGACAAAAGAGGCATTTTAGACGTACAAAAGGAGCATTTAAACCATATGGTTTTGCATGCAATTTATTTTTTGTGCAGTTTGCTGTGAAATACACTAACAATTAAAGAAGGCAAGCAAAATGTTGTAGCAAAGTAAATCTTGTGGGTGGGACCTATACTGAAAAACTGTAAGACACAATTCTCTTGGCTAATCTTAACAGGTTGGTAAGATTGCAACTGAGGTAATACATGAGAGGGAGAGTGCAAGGAGAAGACAGAAACTCAATATGCAGTTATTTATAAAATTAACTTTTATCAAAGTTTAAAATGCTTTAAACATACTTAAAAGAATATTTATAAAATAGATCCATTACAACCCATTGCCTATTAAAGACTGTTAAATAAAAGCAATCTACATGCACCAGTTCAAACCCAACATTCTTGTTTATTATGTTGAAGGAAGTGATGTGAAAACATGCCTATGAATTGATTTTCTGTCTTTGCTCTCGTGTCTTCTCCATGGATGGACTCTCATTTGCTAACAAGCTGTCAATCTGATCAAGAGAGATGTGTCTTACATCTTTCAGTGTTAAGTTGCATAACAATCAAAACTTTGGGGTTTGAAAAATGTTTAGGCTCACATTTTAATACAAATGCATTTACTTGAAATGAAACATTTATCATTTTGCTCTCATATCTGTTTACACCCTGGAGCAGTCTGCAATCTCTCACAGAGAGACAGATAACCATTGACACCTACTGCCACTTTAGAATCACCAATTAACCGAAAAGGTTCTTTGGACTGTGGAAATAAACCGGGGTACCCAGAGTGAACCCATGCAGAGACAGGGATAACATGCAAAGCCTGCCCCTATAAAGACAGCATTACTGCAGTGTAAATCCTCACTTTTGATGTTTTAATCGTGATTCTGATGACAGATATAAGTTCAAACTTGAAGAAACAATTAATGAAAATGATGAAACAATTACTAATCTGCCAAATTTATCAGAGACACATTAACTGACAGCATGTTTAATTAGTTTTTTCTAGTCATAGGTTCAAGTAAGTCAGTTACATGACTTTCAGCTAAAGCTGTGACCTTTTTATTGAATCTAAGTGTTTTTTGTGCCTGACCAAACCTTATCTAAAGTAAAACC